ATTTGTATTTGGATGTGGCAATTTGCGGCATTTTGACATAGTTGCCGAGATCAAAAGGCGAAAAGAAATAAAGAAATAAATTTAAAAAAAAAAAACATACAATGCTAATCTAAAGAAATCAATAGTGTGAGATATTTTGAATGCTTTGATAATGTATGCGTTTAGGTAATAAATACATGTTAAAGAACATTTACAGTTAGCTGAACTAAAATGAACGTCGCCAGTATTCACTTAGCTTCTGTTTTGAGGTCAGATCTAATGAATGCCAACGTCTAACGATTTATCAATTTAATGATATCTAGCACAATACGAAGATGTATATATATATATATATACAAGCTGGTAATATGTCTGCCTTTGTGTTTGCACTCTTAGATACATATTTACATAAATTTTGTGCCGGCTCTGAAAATCGAATAAAAGCAAAAGTGGCTAAGTTTTCTCTTATGTGGCTCACGTGTTGCTTGAGGCCTTGAACCTCACATGTGGACCTTCCACCAATCGATAGACAAAACGACTTTGGTCATTAGAGCTCAGCTCGGCTCAGTTCTGATTTCGGAAACACTACCATAAATCATGCTTACATGTGTATGTATTCACATATTTCTAATATAATTACATTTACATTTACATTAACATACTTACATACATATATACATACATATGCGTGACCCATTGGAACATTTCAGAGCTAAGCAGCCACATATTTATATCATTTGCAGTCTATGCTTAAATTAATTTTTATTTTGTAATAATTTGGTGGCAGCATTTAGGGCTTAACAAAGAGACTTGTATACCTGCTAAATGTAAAATATTTATAAGGTCAAGGGAAAAATATGAAAAAGAGTATTTAAAATTTGTATACAGTTTGCGTATAAAATATTTTAATTTCTATAAGAAACTTAAGGTTCTATTTAAACATTATTTAAAATGGGTTTTTAAGAATGCATTTATTATTTATTTATTATTATCTATTGAAATTATTTAACTATTATAATTAAACGCAGAACATATATAGGTAATTGAATTTTAATTTCTTTCATTTTGACGTTATGGAATCATATTTGTAAATAATTACAAAGGTTTTAGTTTACTTAAGTTATGTGGTTAGCCGAAAACCTAATACAGTTTTTCTATAACTAAAGTAAAGATTGTATTATATTGTAGAAAAAACAATTGCGTTTTTCTATAAGTTAAGATCACTCCAATTTTTATGTGCATTCCAAAGCTGGTTGGAGAACAATATATTTATGTAAAGTCGAGTCGAGTACTTTTAACATGACCAAGCCAATTTGTTAAAAAAAAGTGGCAAATGCGACGTTTATGTTGACTTTGTCAGGCTTTGGCACTGCCACTTTTCAAATGGGTAATTAGCATTTAACTGGATTAGTGGTGAAATTCCATGGATGCAGCTGTGAACCTCAACTTTTCTGAGGCTTTCATGGGTTTAGCTGACATAAGCTGATAAAGTTGATTAATTGCCAGGGGACAGGCAACAACAGAGTGAGCGCTAGTAAAAGTTTTATGGAAATGGAAATTATTTATGACTACTAAAGTCTTTTTATTTCACTGTTAGGGCTAACTGAATTATCATGTTTTCATATTTTTCGTCAAATGTTCTCTGCATCACTGTTTATTGTTAACAAACCCTTCTTGAAATATAACATTTTATTTTGTTACATAGTTCTTGGGTGTTTGAGGCGAGTACTCAATTTTTAATTGGATCTAATGCTTCTGCTTTGGGCTATTTTAATTCTGTCGTCAGGTTTTTAATTTTTACACATTATGTGTTGTTTTTTTTTTATTATTTGTTTTCATGTTGCGAATTTTCATTGCGCATTTTCCCATGTGCATATATTATATATAGTTTTCTCAATTATTTTTTTTTCTTATCCGCAAGCGACAATTATGCACATTTACAAGTATGTATAAATAAACCAAAAGCAGGCACATACATTAACATTTACATACATATGCATATATATATATATATATATATGCACTGCAAGCGCGCGCTTGGTCAGCGAAGCGTAGTTGTTAGAGATGAGCGTTAATAACCTACTCTGCAGTTTAGTTTTGGCCAGGTCTGGCACTGCCCACAATCGGCTTAAAATTTTGGTGCCGAAAAAACAAAAGAGGCACGAGAATGTGACAATTTATAATAGCTTGTAAATATTGCAGTTGGTTCTTGAATAGACATGGAAATATATAGAAGCATACCTTAATTTGCGTACTTAAATTTGCTGTTATGCAAAATGTCTCCCTTTCCATTTGTATTTGGTGCTCCAATTTGTGAAAGCGCAATAATTTTCCATTTTAAAAGCGGTCCTCATGGAACTACCGCTTTCAAAAGTAAATACTAAATTTCATATGAAAAGCAGCAGATTTTTTTTTAAACTAATGCCAACGAGATTATAAAGATATTTTGCGGATAATTTATTACTTCCTTATGGTCTGTGAATCATCACAACAACTGATTAGTTCCATGGCTATAAAATTACTCATTGCTTGTCCCGATTATGGATTGCACAAATAAAATCTTTGAATAAATTAAAATGTATATCGACAATTTATAATAATAAATAATAAATAAATTTTGGTAAATACTGAATTGCCACTGACTCTTCTTGAGAAACTTTAAGCTGGATCGCAATGTTGTTCAAACATTTTTAAGACTTTTTATTTTGATGAAAAATACATTTAAAGCAAGTGTTGATTTGAGTTTTGCATAACTACAAAAAAAAAAAAAAAATAATTAAAAAAACTACTCAAATATATAAACAGCCAAAATGTGAAATCTTCAATACTCTTGTGTGGGCTTTATAAAATACTTTTATATACATAAATATAAAGAGGAACTCAAGTTGGCACTTATGAGTTTTAAGTTGTGGGATCGAGATTGGAGATTGGAAATTGGAGTTTGCTGCAAGACGTGAAATCGAAAACTTAGAAATACTATTTGCGTAAAACTTAAAATCACAAAAAAATATTTTGAACGTCCTAATACAATTTAGTTCTCGGCATTTTATCTCCACACTATAAACGTATTTAATCCTATTTAATCTTATAATAAAGCTTAGATTGCGGATTCGGGTAGCAAAGCTTTCAAAATTTGGCGTGTGCAACAAAGCCGTTTAATCTTCTTTAAATTTACAATTAAATTTTAATATGAGCAAGACTAATTCCCGAGATTGTCCCGTTTTTTTTCTATATTTAAGTTGTGTATAAGGAAGCGGAACATTTATTTAAGAGCTTTGCTTGGAATAAACCAATAAATAAGTAAAGAAAAAAGACAAAAAAAAAAAATATAATAATAATCAAACAGTTTGTCGATAATTGTTTTCAATTTAGTGCATATGAAATAATATTCTCAATGAGCGAAATGAATTAGCCATTACCACTAAAAGTATAGCAATTATAGATTTGTGGTTGGAGTTGCCTTTTTATTAAAGCTTTGGAGGAGCTAGGGAGCAATCAACTTCCCAAGTTGAGTGACTCTAACGCAAAAACTGAGGATGACAGAGGCTTTTCCGATTTTTATGGGTGTACAAATCGATTTCCCAACCCCCCTGCATAGAAGGACCCCAATCTCTGTCTCTAGCTTCAAGGGTGCCAAATAGAAGTTGCGTGCAGGCGGAATGACAAACAGTATTTCGGAATTCTACCTTCGGCATCAGAGTACAAACAATTTGCAGACGAATTCCGTCGAGATGGATTTGTGTTTGTGACGTTTGCTCAAATTGTGGCAATTTGTGGCTTTTGTGGAGATGTAAAAATTAACCAGATTTGTTCGCAGAGGAAGACGTCTTTTGCGATATCATTATTATTAATAAAAAATATCTTGTGATTGTCGAGCATTCCATGTTAAATATAAGAGTATCAAAAATCACAAGAGCTTTGTGCAATTGATTTATAATTTATTATTATATTATGATTATAGTTTTAAATATTATGGCATATAAAAATACAAATATTATCGCTGGTGCTTTATATACGGTTTATCAACACATCAGTATCAATGACATACTTAAATCAAGATACTCTCCAATAAAACATTGCTTTTAATCGATTGGAATCGGAGAAGTAAGACGAAATTAAAAAAAAGTAGTTTTGTAAAAATTGTATACTTTTTATAAGGTTTTTTTCATTTCAACATATTACCTACATGCTTTTACATGTTACTTTATCAAAAGATATCTTTTACGACTTAAGTCACATTCCGTGATGCTAACTATTTGCTTGGAAAATGATGATATATATGTATGTATGTATGTGTTTTTACATAGAAAATAAATTAGTATCTAGATTGTTTGTTCAAGGGTTGACTGTGTTTGCCAATACCGCAAAACCATTAATATTGCGACTGTTGCTCGGAGCGGGCTAATTATGTCAGTTGCAGTTTGCTTTGCTGTGGTTGATTGCTTGCTGACAATAATGTTAGCGATGGCGGTAATGATGCACATGAGCATTGACAATATAAATGGGCCCGATAATTGTGTGGGTGGGGCGAATTTGATACCATTTTCATGTCATATATATAAAGCAAATATATGTTTTGCAGAGCATGTATAGAGCCCGACAATGTAATATAATTTATGGAATATTCACTTAGATAAAACATGTACAAATGCATGTTGCTTAATTATACTGATAGTATCATTATCTACCATACTCAAACCAAGCTATAGTCACAAAATTCAATATCACAAATATGGCTGTCGTTATTAGATTATTAGCTTGAGCAGAATGTTTTTAATTTGATGCATCACGTAGGAGACCATTATTTATTAAAATGATCTGGGATACAATTATCAATTAAATGCCAATTATAATAATTCAGTTGTTTATTTAACTTAATTGAATGCCACTTTAAAGTGACCTCAGCTGTTGATATGGCACAACGAGTTTCACGCTTCATGCACAACAATTATGCTGTTTATTATAGATACTAATGCTAATTAATTTTATAACACTTTCGAACCTTTTTTGTTCTGTTTCAGTGCATCCAATGTGCGAATTGTGCTACTAGTGCGGGATCCGCGGGGCACAATGCAATCGCGTCGCCATCGCGTCTGGTGCGGCGGCAATGAGGACTGCGAGGAACCAGCACTGGTCTGCCAGGATCTCGTTGATGACTACAAGACGGCTGAGAAGCTGCTCAAGACGTATCCAACGCGTTTTAGGTGAGTTTTGTTGTAGCCTCTCCCCATCAAAAATGGATAGTTGATATACTGAATATTACAGTCAAATATATATAGAGTCTTGATCAGTTATGTATTCTATTGATACATTTTATCTTAAAGCACTCTTAAAATAAATAGATTCTTAAATACTTTGTTTTTTTATTATAGAACTTTGCGCTATGAGGATTTGTCACTGAATCCCTATGATATGACCCAGGACATTTTGCAGTTTTATGGCTTGCCTTTTGATCCTGCTGTCGAGGACTTCCTGGACACACATACAAAGGAGAACAAAGGTGGCGTTAGTTCCACATATCGTGATTCCAGATCGGCGCCATTCCACTGGAAGCTGGATCTCAAGGCTGAAGAGGTGAGTCTGTGCAGCAATCCTAAAAATCATTATGCTTTACATTGTCTACATTTTTTATAGATCAAGCAAATTCAGGACGTTTGCGTGGAGGCCATGGATCTGTGGGGTTATCGTCGCATGGCCAATTTCAGCAATTTTGCTATGGTGCAGCAGACCTTCGATCCGATCGTGTTGCCGCCTCCGTTTACGTGAATGGTGTAATTCTGTGCGAACTGATAACGATAACTAATTCTTCTACTTGGTACATTTTGTTGTGATATCGTCGTGTTGAGCGAGCAAAAAGAAATTATATAGAAATGCATTAGCTAACGGTTTTTTGTAGCGGGCACATATTTTTGTTGCTAAACACGCAAAACACACACTTACTGAGCAATAGTTAATGATATACCACATACGATATACTATAAATATACATACACAATATGACTTATACAATATATATATACACACATATATATATATATATATATTTATATATGTTTGCGATAATTTTAGTAATTGGCGAATTTTGTGTAGCGTAAAAGATCGAATATCACATTTTTATATATTTAGGCATAGCATTTAAGCATTTAAGTAACTAACAACTGAGAACATCAACTAATATACTTCTAAAAAGCACCGGCTGGCGTTGTTCTTTACTTGGCTTTATTCTCAGTATAAATTAAACCACTAATATTTTGTAATTTTCTGCTTATAGAAAAAAAAAAAACGAACAAATGCAATCGCAAAAAAAAAAGAAAAATGAAGAGAAATTCAGTGATTTAGCAACTAAATACAAGAAAACGTATCAGCAGTAATTAAAAATACATTTAGAAATTTAGACACATTATCAAGCACAAATATATATACAAAATGTTAAAGCAAAAATACAAGTCTTTGGAAAATGTTGTGCAATAATAAATGAAAGAAAAAGAAAATCAAAATTGATCATTAACTAAAAATGGCAGCTAAAAAAATGTTAACGTGAATTTGGCATAGCAAAATTATCGTATTATGGAAAGTGTAGAGCAATGAGCACTCGACTCCTAAGCATAAGTTTAAGTGTACATTATTTGAATAATATATTTAATAATAATAATTACAATATTTACGGTTATTTATTTGTAATTAAATTGTAATTTAAATGTAATATATTTTTTGTCCATACCTTTTTTTGTAAGTTAAGTTGAACTTGTTTTGAATCAATGTTGAATACAAAGACCAGCAATGTGTGTTAAGGAACAGAAGTTAATTAAATTAATACCAAAACAATGAAATATTATTTAATGAACAAATCCGGCAATATTTGCATAATAATATACAACAAAATGAACTAATTAGCAATGGAATAAAGAGTAAAATATTAAATATTGAATACTAAATTACACACTTGAGTTTTACTCCAATTTTTAGACCATCGACTTCAGAGAATGGCATTAACGATATTTTTAATCTCATACTATATACACTTGCTTCCACTAAAACTGTCTCAATATATGAAGTAATGGAAAAGTTTTGGAATGCAGATTTTTGAGCAACGACCGCATTTGTAATTTGTAGAATGTTGAGCAAAAGATTCTGACAGGCAGAAAGAAGCCCCTTTTATTAGAAAAAATCAAAAGTCGAATCGATTTAGACTTGTCCGAGTGTCATTTCGTTATCGTACACAATAAGCACAAGTACTCGATAGAAATCTATTATCGACATCAATACAATCCACAATTATCAATATATTACTTTGGTATTCGAAAGAAGTATACGTTGGCATAACTTTGATCATCTGTAAACATTTCAATCCTAACTCTGGCCTCATATAGCAGTAACTATAGCAATAATATACAATTCTATTATATTAAGTGAATTATATTGGAGAATCGTAATCGTACAGTCCTTCATTTCAGCAATAATGTCCTTATTAATTCTGTTGGTTATTGATAATAATTTATTTAGATAGAGCTGGTATTAATTGAGTTTATTGTGGATATGGAAGTTTTGTAATAGAAATTGTAAAACTGTATTTTGTATGATAATGCAATCAGAGTGTTATTCACATATACGATCATTGGCACGTCAGGTTGGCCACATTTATGCCTAAAAGCAAAGCCAAAGAGTCCCAAAAATAGAGGTGTGCGTCGCGGGTTGCGATACCAGCTTGCCTCACTAAACATGGGAAGAGGACACGTGTGCCAGTGGTACGAAATCTGTCAGGGTGGCATTAATGGTGAAAAACTGCCCCCCTCAAAGCAGCTATCCAAGCCATGATCGATAATATGTCACTGGGGGAGCGAGCATTTGCGACGATGAGCTAAGCAAATCTAAGATTGAGCGGATCTTTACTAATGAACTGTCAAAAAACGCTCTAACTCTTTTAAAGGGGGATTAAAATGCAGATGTCCTGGATAGAGAATAAGAAACAGGACAACCTCAGATTAAAAGGAAAGAAAGCTGTTTAATGCAGCTTAGAGAAGATGGTACAAAATGAAAGGGAAGGCGATTGCTTAAACTCCAGAGCTGTGCAACGTATTTTTACAATTAAGGATATCCTTAATACCAAATTTAATATCCATATGTCCCCATTTGTTAATGTGACCAAGGGTGTACTCGGCTTTATTAAGTGCTATTGAATCGCGTTTGAAGACCCTTTCGACACCAAACTTTTCTTATGTTTCCTTAGTCTGCCTTATTTGTGAATCCCTCTCAAGTTCGGTTCAGGAGCAATTCAATCTGCCTGAGTTAAATCGGATCCCAATCTTCGTTTGCCAGCGTACTCCAATAGCCATTTTTCTCATTTATCTTGCAACATTCATTATATTGACATTAATAAATGGCGACGTAGGTTCTTCTTCTCCATTGGATTGTCTTAACTTTTGTGTTCCCAGTAGGCCTCTTAAGAACTTTGTGCCTTTTCAATTACTTTCGCATTTACTTTACACAATCCTGTTCGAGTTATTTTAAGTGTGTCACATATTTACCACAGAACGCTTCTTCCATTAATTGAAATTTTAACTTTAAAATATTTCCGGGTAATCTCTGAACAAATTTATTTAATTCAATATGATTAAATATTTTCGTATTTTTCTCTCTTATTGTTTTCTCTCTCTTTATTTCTTCCTTCTCTTTTGACCTAATTATATATGTTTTCGGCAAATTACTAATCTCTAAACATAAACATTTTTTGGGATGATTGGTCTATTTCTGCTTTCTCAATAAATAAATATTGTACCATTTAACAGTTTAAAGTCCAAGATATATTAAATTCCTTATTTATTTTTTTACATTCTAAAACTTTAAGTGAGTTTTTTTTTTATTAATTTAATACAGTTATATTTATTTTTAATTTTCAAAGTATTTTTTTCTAGGTTTTTCAACTGCATATAGTTTACTTTAAATAATAATTTAAATTCATTTCAATAGGTTTTTAAAACTTGAACTCTTCAATTCTTTAATAATATAAGTAGCAAATAAATAAAACAGGCAACTAAGTTAATAACAGGCTTGAGTTGCTTAATGCTACAAGCGGACAGTTAATTTCAGCCACAAGTGTATTTTATCCAACCGCTTAACCACAACACAAAAGCATCGCGAGCTTTTCATTGGTGTCAGCCGAAGGTTTTGCACGAACCGATTACTGCTTTGGCACACAAAAGATGAACATTTTGTTAAATAATATTTCTTTGTTGATATCAAAGCAAAAATAATTAAAACAGGACATACCTATTTCTTAGGAACTGAATTGATTAAAACCAGATTATTTAATTTGAAGCTCTATGAAATTATATAAGCATTTACGTATTTTATTTAATCAAATAGTTGTCACAATATCAAATATATCTTTTGCTATTTGCATTATGTATTAATGTGCACATTGATTTGTTTTTTAAGAGAAGTGTAATAGTTTATGTAATGCATAATGGAGCAAGACAGTGCGTACAAATACAATTTATTAATTTAATGATAAAGTTTATAGTAATTGTGTTAATTCGCCATCTTTAAAGCAGGCAAATTCATAACTTAGTTTCACAGAAATTATAGATTTCTTCTAAGAACAAGACTAAATATTCTTGCACTTTCGGAAATTTTGAAAATAGTTAATGGAATTTGAAATTTTTTTAATTTTACCAATTTGTGACCAAATCAAGAAGGATTTTCTCTAATTTCCTTGGGCTGATATTGCAGTGCGCTCTCTCTTAAATTACAACGATTTGATAAAATATTATTAAATTTTAAGTAGAAGTAAAACGTGAATGAAAATCCTTTAAATTCGATGAATCAAATCATGTTTCTTGTATCCCTAAGACATTCTTTATTGAAATATTATTGGAATTTACATTCAAATCAATTAAACGTATTTTACTCTTTGCATTCTCTCATTCCAAAAGGCGTATGCGTAATAATGAGCCTAATGGTTATTTGTTTTGAAATTACAAAACAGATTATCTTTCGTTTTAAGTGATTAAGCCAAACGTCAAATGTGAAATGTAAATACAGCTGCAAAATGAAATTTGAGCTGCCGTTTGCTGGATGGGATTTAAACATGGGGAACATTTGAAAGGACATAATCGCAACATTAGCGTGGGATTAAATAAAAGAATGTTGAGAGAAAAACTGCCACCGGTTTTTTGGGGCAGAATAAGCGCCGCCTGCAATAGTTTTACCTATTTCATTAGCTGCTAAGCTAAAAGGTGCCCAAAATTCTAAGCGCCGCCTACCACAAGTGAGTGTGTGTGTGTGTTTGTGTGCGTGGGTAGACCAGAATCAGCAGCAACAAGAGCAACAACAACAACATTGACTGGCTAAAACAAACGCCAGCGAATGGCAGGCGACTAGCACAGCTTTAAATCAACGCGACCTCGCATGGGTGACGTCAAAGCGGCCACTGCTGTGTGCTGCGTGGGCGCTGGCAGGAGCTTTTTGCTCAGTCGAGACAGCAACCAAAACAGCCAGTGACGAAGCTTTCATTGAAAGCGCAACAGGAGCCCATCAGCTGAAGTTGAAAGAGTCGGCGTGCGTGCTTGCGTGCGTTCGGCTCCGGTTCGCTATAAAACAAGTGGCCATCGTCGTTAGCGTTGCATTCGTTTCGTGCGCGTCGAACCAAGCAACCCAACCAACAGGCAGCCAGCTGCTCTAAGGGGTTTTAAGAAAACAGTTTTGAAAACAGTTAATTGTGATCACTCTTTGGATTTGCTCTGTCAATTAAGCTTCAGTCAAATTAATCCATTTTTGAATCCAAAAAACAATTTTCCTCTTGTTTGACTTTTATTTGGAAAAGATTTTGAAATACAATTTACGTGAGTTTTTCAACGTGTTTTTATGTTGCACACAAAACACGTCATCGTAATTATTTGTGAAGCCAAATCTGACAGATTTCAACTCTAGCGCTGATAACGAATAAAAAGTTAATAAAATCGCCGTATCGCGCTACAAACAGTTAACGCGAGTTTATCTAATTTGTATTC